ATGGAGGACTTTGAGACTCGACAGATTTAACGTGCATCAGTCACCATTTACTACACGGGTAGTCTTCGACCGGAGGGGACCGAACCCACGAACTCTTGGACATGGGCCCGGCACCCCATCGACCAGGCTATCCCGGCCTAGTAGCGACAATTTATCAGAATTATTGTTGCACCGCACCTGTGGACCTACTACAAGGGGGAGTATTAGTTGATTATATAGTTGATTATGGCAGTAAATGAAAATCATTAGTCATAATTGGATGTTAATCTGTCAAACCATCGTTACTTTGGTTAGATAATGGGTTTGGTGTTTACCAATATCTTCTAGTGGTTCCATCATGGTGTTGTTCATCGCCTGTAAACTATTGAATTTTCTGAGTGTTATTGGAGTTAAAGAAGAAGCCAAGAGCATTTGACAACAAATATTGAAAACAACCTTAGAAAGTCTCACTTACAGCAAACTATCAAAACGCCAAGGCGCAAATAGTTCAAATGAATGTTGGGAATATATATATTTCGCTAATTAGAAACTTGCAATCAAAATATAAAAACATGGCGCGATCATTAGTTTGTCTCACGCAATAATAAAACCCACCAGTTTAATATACTCAAATTCACTAAGATATCGCCAGAAATAATTTTTCCTCTATGCTTTTAAATTTTGAAACATAAAATTATTCATTGAAGTTTATATGAGTAAAAAAGAACTTGTTTCTCATAGGAATCGAATGCAAGGGCAATCTTGGCTGGGGCAACTATCGGTTTAACTATATAAGTCATAAAACGTTGGTGATCTTAGTAAATGAAAATATAAAGTGACTGTCTTTTAAGTGTTTTTAGAGTTGTAGAAGAAGCCAAGTGCATGTGTCAACAACTATTGAAAACAGCTTCAGAAATCTTTATTTACGGCAAACTATTAAATTGCCAAAACGCAAACAATTCAAATGAGTGTTAGGAATATAGAGATTTTGCAAACTAGAAATTTTCGATCAAGATATAAAGGCATGATACGATCATTAGTTTCTCTCACGCAAAATTGAATAAACTGGCTTAATACACTCAAGCTCATTAAAATGTCGCCTAAAATAATTTATTCTCCATGCTTTTAAATTTTGAAACATAAAATTATTCATTAAAGTTTAATGGAGGAAGAAAGAACTCGTTTCTCATAGGGATAGAATGCAAGGAGGTGAAGAAGAAGCCAAGTGCACTTGTCAACAAATATTGATTACTACTTTAGAAAGCCTCGTTTTCAGTGGAATATCAGAACGCCCAGCCGAAAATAGTTTAAATGAGTTTCGGGAATTTATAGATTTCACTAACTACCCATATAGCATGATCCGTAAACTAAGCATAAATGCTTGGGAAATTGTTAAAGTCAATACGTTTTATACGTCAATTTTACGTAATATTGAAGAAATGATGTTACCATTGAGATATTTTGCAAAAAAAACTTTAGAATATTTTACGTAATATTAACGGAATGGATATTACCAACTACCCTTCAGTAACATTAATTTCATAAGTTTTACGAAAGATTGACAAAAGAAAATTTACTATTCGGATTTAGTAAAATTAATTTAGTGTATTATTGACGAAGCAAAATTACCGTTTAAATTTCGGCAAGAAAGTTTCGGTACATTTTACGTAATAATGTTGAAGTATATTTTATCATTTAGATTTTGGAGAAAAAGATTCCGCATATTTTACGTAATATTAACAAAATAAATTTACCATTTTATTTTGGTAAGGATATTTTTCGAATATTTTACGAAGGTTGACGAAGTGAATTTACTATTTAGATTTACTAAAAATGCGTCTGTATATTTTAAGCATTATTGTAGAAGCAAACTTTGAAATTTCGGTAAAAAGGTCTTCATACATTTTACGTAATAGTGTTGACGTATATTTTACCATCTAGTTTTGGAAGGAAAAGAAACAGCTTCCCTATATTTTGCATAATATTGACAAAATTAATCCCATTTTATTCTGGTAAGAATATTTTGGTACACTTTACGTAATATTGACGAAGTCAATATGCAATTTCCCATTTAAATTTGGATAAGAAGACTTTCGTACATTTTACTTAATAATGTTGATGCATATTTTACCATTTAGATTTCGTTGAAAAGACTTCCTTATATTATACATAAAATTAACAAAACAAATTTAACATTTTATTTCGGAAAAAATACTTTGTATATTTTAGTTTCTACGTACGAAGTGAATTTGCTGCTTGGACATGGTAAAAATGCTTCTGTGTGTTTTACATATTGATAACAAAGCATATTTACTATTTAAATTTATTTTCGTATATTTAACGTCATTATGTTGATGTATATTTTGTATTTATATTTTGGCAACAAGAAGCTTGCTAATTAAATATCAGGGTATAAAGATATAAAATATATAAAAATTTATGTAAAAATTGAGAATTTTCGGAAAAAAGACCTTACTTTGCTTATAACTATGCAAATCATAAAATGTTTGTGATCTTAGTAAAGGAAAATATGAAGTGAAAGTCTTTGAGTGTTATTAGAGTTAAAGAAGAAGTCAAGAGCATTTGACAATAAATATTGAAAACAACCTTGGAAAGTCTCACTTATAGCGTTTTGATAGTTTTATCAAAACGCCAAGGAGCAAACAGTTCGAATGAGTGTTGGAAATTAATAGATTTCGCTAATTAGAAACTTGCAATCAAAATATAAGAGCATAGCACTATCATTTGCTTATATGTGGTAAAATAGAATGAATATGTTTAATATACTCGAATTCACTAAAATGTAACCTAAAATAATTTGTCCTTCATTCTTTTAAATTTTAAAATATAAAATTATTCAATTAAAATTAAAAGAGTAAAGAAAACTTGTTTCTCATAGGAATAGAATACAATTGCATACCGTTTTTTTCTTTTAACTGATTATATGTTGAGAAAATTTGAAAGCTTTCTTTGAAAATTTGAAACTTAACATCCACATATTTCAGGACTATTATTCAAATTTAAAATTTTTAAAAGATAAAAAAAACTCAAAACACTCACTGCAAAGCTAGAGAGCAAACACTGAATTATGGATCTTGCCTAATGAATGTTAAGTGACATTTTTGAAAAATTTAAGACCACTTGGGGAAAGATCTGAATTCAATGTTATGCAATCTTCTCCTCTCAAATTTTTCCATACATTAGTGTTGTTGTTGCTTATCTTCTCTGTCTGACAGAGTCAGACAAGATCCACGAGTTCATTGTCTGAAAGGTAGTCGGAGACTAGGAGAGGATTGCTAAAGAGATCCTCATTAGAGAGTCCCATGCAATCCAAGAGGTGCTCAGGAGAAGCCTAGGCACTTGGTGCAGGTGACAAAGCCATACATTAGTGGATGAGAGTAGTGAGTGACAATATTTGAATTTCGGTGACCTTCAAAATCATTTTGAAACATACTGCTGACGAGTAACTTCAGAAAACACCTCTTTGGCTACAGATTAAAAGGATTGCGAATGCTGTGACTCAGACAGTTTAAGAGGCATGTACCCTCGCCATCACGGAATACTTAATGAAATTATATTAGGTGAATATTAGGTGAAATATTTAATTTGTGTTTTCTCGATATTTTCATGTACTTAAAGAACTTCTGATGATATAGTATTATTATACAGCACAATACCTTTTTTAAAAAAAGTAGAAATCAAAGAAGTCGCTTTATTTGATTAGAAGAAATAGCGCTTATTATTTTTAAAACTTCTATGCATTTTTTCTCAAAATTTTAAAGAAATAAAATAATGAATTGTGCAGTTTTGAGTAATATAATACTGTACGTTTCTCAGATTTTGTTTTCTTAAAAGATAATTTTAATAAAGCTTAAGCTAATAAAAACCGAATAGGATGAAGCATAAAAATTCTTTTATCGTTAATTGTATGAAAATAAAGGAGCTTTTTAAAAGTCCAAAAGCAGATAACTGTGTACTATCAAAATCTGTTGACTCCAGAATTGTCTTGGCGTAATTTTGTCTCAAAAAATAAATAGAGAATTTAAAATACCTCACACTTTATATCTCAAATTGAAGCTGGTGATGGTCTTGCATTATACACGTATCGGAAGATACTCAGTTTATCATCAGTTTATTTGTGAATATTAAAAAAGTCCGTCAGATTATTTGTGAATATTAAATAAAATGTATTAAAGGCATGTTAAAAATTTCCCTCCCCATCTCCAACTATTTGACAGTACACAGTTGAGAAGAGAAAAAGACATCTTAAGGCTGTTTTTGAAGGCTCCGTCGCAATATTAAATGATATTTCTTACGATAATATGCTATTCTTATAATTGCTATGAGCTTGTAACTGTTACTCATGACTGTTTAACTTATCTATAGTAACTGTTACTCAAATTTAACTTATCTATAGCCGACGCTGTCTACGCATATTTTGAAAATGACGCAAAACGTCAATATGGAGAAAAGCCACAGCTTTATGAAAAAAAGCGCTTGCGTTCTAATTTTAAATATTTAAAAACTTACTTCAATGCTTCATTACTTGGGGTCATAAAAATTTGCAAAAACTGAGAATAAAGCAGTGATTTTGATAATTTTCATCTAGGTGGAAAAAATATAGCTAATTTGACAATTTTTAAAAAAATTTAATAACTTTTAAAATATTTAAGTTATTTGTCTGTTCTATAGCCCAGATAACTCTTCACGGCGAGATTATATGTATACAGTTTAATTATCGCAGAGCTTCATGTAAAAGGCACTTAAATTTAGGCTTTTTTATTTTTCTTGGTGACAAAGTTTCGAAAAATAGCGCTAAGTGTGCGCGTGAGGCTTACAATTTTGCCAATTGTAAATAAGAAACAAAACCAGAACATAATTTTCCTTTCCTACTGTCAACGCATAAATTTCGAGAAGATTTTTACTCAAGCTTATTAAATTGCCACTTGAAATTTTCATCTATTCTGCTCTAGCAATAAAAGTTGGTGTAGTATCTTAAATATAACTTACAATACACACACTTTTTACAGTATACACTGTAAACACTTTATTTAAAAATCAATTGGTCGAATTTTCATTTCAACATTAGACAAGGAGACTGTATAACCTTTCCAGGTCTTCCATGTTATCATGTCATATCTATATTGGTTATGAGTGCCTTTTAAATACAAACCATTCAAATTAGCGCTGTGGCATGAGTTATACCACCAACCTCCCTTCCACCACTCTGCGCAGTTTTTCACATCTCGATCGTTGTCTCTATCTTTCGTTGAGAAACTCATACCATTATGATATGTCATAGAATCACCTGTTTTAAAAAGTATTTAGAATCAGTAAAACAAAATTATCCACTAAAAACTCCACTACAAAAATAATCAAATCTGATAACACCGCTATAACCTTGAATACGATGTTCACACAAATATGAGTACTATAATGAATTTTTCAGATAGTGCAAGTGAATCATTACTCAGGCAATGAAGAACCATGAGTAAACTGTTTTTGCCAATATAATGCTGCCACCAGTATTTCAAATGTTGTCATCTAGTCGTGGTGCCATCCACTGTGGTAACGAAGATAAGTCATTTTAAATATGGTAGTGAAGATAAGTCACTTCGAAGATTACGACTGGTGTGCTAGCTACTACCATGGTTACGAAGATAGGTCGCTTAGAATACGTGATTGAGGTTAACAGTTTTGAATTTGTTGAGGTTCTGAGAGTCATATCATTTGATTGTTTTTTAGCCAGTATAAAATATTTTCTTTTTGTTTCCATAACAACAGGCAATTTCTCGTTTCACGAGTTCTCGTCAAAGCCAGACAGTACACATATTCTATTGTTCCCGTAAACAGATTGTGATTATTAAACTGCACATAAAATAACGTGAGATGTTTAGAACTTCACAACATGTTACGTGGCGTACAAGGCGGGTTTTTTAAATAAAAGGGTATTTGCTCAGTAGAGTAGTGGTTTAAATTTCAAAAAAATAAAAGTATTTAAAATCACCTGGCACTCTAAGAAGAATATAGAATTACAAGAAAATCATAATGGTAGTCATATTGTGACATATTGGAAATTAAAAATTAATTTTGTCTCCTGTTAATTAAGGAGTTGTTTTTCATTATGCAAATATGAGAAATGTTTAATCATTTATCAAACTTACTGTTCATGCGTCAAGTTTCACTTACGAATTTAAATCATTTACTTTTGAAGAAAATGAAACTGCAGTTCTGATTTACACTAAACAAATTTTTTTTACATTCCATCCAGTATATCATACCTCCATTATTCTGCGTATACTTTGTACTTTTATCAACTGTATTATAACTATTTTATTAAATCATAATACTCCAGAAACTTTTTATCATTTCAAGTAACCTAATGTGATATAAAGGATTATTGCATTACTGTCATTCTTTTTAATCACACTTTTTTGCTTTGTAGATCTGAACAAAAGTACCAATAAAATCCTGTTACCTCAAATAATCCTGAATTTAATCGTCTATTTTTAAAAATAAATAAAACAACAAATTCTCGAAGAATTTTTTCTAAATTTACAATTTAAAACTGTTTAGATAGAAAAAATACAAAAATTAAAAATAATAAACTGGGAAAATACCTTCAACCACTTAACTAAAAATACCAACCTGCAGTTCCACTGAAACCTGATATATGCAGTTTATATTTATACTCTTCATTGTCAATCCAGAAACTGTTGTAATGTGCATAAGCAGTCTCACGGTCTGTTCCTAGATCAAAACGTACAGCATACTTTCTTTGGTTTGTCAAAACATGGATAACATCGTTTCCTATGGGAAAAAATTCTTTTTAATGAAAACAACTGTAAAGAAATAATGATTTTGTAATTTCTTTTTTTTTTTTAGTTATATTTATTTATTTGTTCGTTTTATGATGAATTTTCCGTAATTACCGTCAATAATACGCGTATGTACATGTTTTTTTAGAATTTAAGCCTAGCTCGCCATCCATTGGCCTTTTATGATTCAAGAGGTGCACCTTTCGTTTTAACACGAAAGCACCGCAAGGGTGAATGTATGACTTAATTCAGAACCCCATGGATAGATGGCAGTATCAGTCATTCGTGAGGCCACTTCCTAAATTTAAACATAGATCTGAAAGGTAAGGAAATTCTCCATATCCCTGTACCCTTGGTACTTCTCAGCGACCAACCACTGGACTGGCGAAGATTTTAAGAACGCATATATCACATGTACTCGGTGGCTCTGAGTGCTGTCAACAGGCCGATTTCGAGTCTATCATCTAACCACTAGGTTAACACGGTCTCAAAATTTTTTATTGAGGATGATTATAATAGAGAAGAGTTAGAAAATTATTCAGACTCCCAGAACCTCTTAGTTCAAGGTTTAACAATTACAAGGTTGGCTGCTTTAGTGATTTTAATAAGTTTAATGCAAACACATTTGATTGATTGCTCGCAAGAAATGGAAAGGGGGTTAATATTGTTTCATAACTCAAAATTTTGCGCAAAAAGAACAGATGTAAATTGTGCTTAATTCAATTGAAATATTACAACACAAGAATTTTTTCATCAATATTGTATGAACCTGTTCAATGTTTTCAGTTTTCATAAGTTCAACATAAGAAGTTAAAAGTTTCAACATAAAAAGAAATTAATTTAATCAAACTGACGAACACTATCAAATTGGATAAAGGAAATTNTTTAATTGCTCAAAATCTATCATATATATATATATATTGAATTCACAGCTGTTTTATTGCATAAAAAGTAGGAAAGTAACTCTAACAGTATGTAAAAGTACGTTATTAGGAGTAGTAAATTCGTTGAGTTGTAGTAGTTGAGTTTCTTATCTTATTCGAACCCAACCGACTCTTAATATTCGAAAGGAATCCAAACAACTCGTTATATTCACAAGGAAAGAAATGCGCAATTCATATTTTGTCAACTATCATTTGATATTTGTTATAACTCCAAGACAAAATGTGTTTAATCATTTTATATTTTTTCAACCCTATTTTAGACGTCCAATATTGATAGATTTCAACAGTAACTAGATGACTGTGTGTTACTCTATTAATGAATATACCAAGATGTGTATAATATTTGCTAAATTTAGCTGTGCGAACATGTAACAACAGGCAATTATGCAAAATTTCAGAGGCTACGCAAAAAATACAGTCCCGACGCGAGCCCTGAGGTGTGTAGTTCTGATGCGAAGAAAAGAAAAATGGTGCGTGAGCAGATTTACGTGAGCAAAAATTACAAAAACAATTTTAATACTTTAAAAAAATTCTTCAGTCTTCGTTATTAATACATAGCTTTCAGCTATTAATATCGAAGTTGAATAAGTATTAATAACTGAATTCGTTAATAATAGCTAAATTGGAATAATTCTGTCTGTCAAGTTACATTTCTGCTTTTACTTGATGTAGGTGTTTAATGTGTCCGAACTAAAATCCTTGATTATTTACAAATAAACGTTCTTGTTTTGAAAGTTTCCGTTTTGTCTATCCATAGTTAGAATAATTATGAATGTGAACATTAATTGATGTATAAATAGATTGAGAATTCATATCTTAAATAGGAACCCGCTTTTAGTAAAAAGGGTCCCAGAAATGTGGAAATCTTGGGTTCTAAGGACCCATATTTTCTGAAGTATAGCGGAATTACTAATATTCACCATTTTCATCTCCAAGTTACCGAAACAATCAAAATTCTAAAACTTACTTCAAAAATAATATTACTTTAATGACAAACCAGCCTACATAATTCCTAGAACTTAAAAACAAATTGTATCATCAATTGTATAACTCCTTCAAATTGAATAATCATTAATTTATTTTTACTCCGCAACTTTGGCATACGAGCGAAAATCATTGTATTTATAAATATTTCCCCTACCTCGGCCTGCCTAAATCAGTTAAACAAAATTCGAATTTCCACAGCAGTTTTATTAAGTTTTATTTATTTTCTTTTAAAAAAAGTTATTTTTTAATTCTCTGCGTCAACATGTATCAAATTCAAAATAATAAAGAATAAAAAACAAATAAAAATTAAAAAAAAGAAAAACTACAATAAATAAAAAAATAAGAAGAAAATAATAAACAACTGCGACATAGACCTTGGCAATAATTTCTTACGAATCATAACCGATGCTTTAATTCCTTAGTTTTCCATAGCGAAAAGGAAACTAGCATTTTGCGAAATTTGCTTCTATAATTTTATTACGAAGCAATGGGTATTATGTGAGCCATCTCCTGATTTAATTACCCTTTCATTGGCGAAAACATGTGACTAGTTTTTATAGCTACAAAAAATTAAATAGAAATTTGACGAAAAAAAATTCTAGTTGAAAATTACATATGGCAACCTAGCAATTTTATCATGACAGCAAAGCTTTAGTTTAAATGTTATTTTAATTTAGAGATTACGAAGAATAATGGGTACTATGGCGGTAAAGTACCCATATTTATTTCGCCGGTGAAAGGGATGTGTACACTGAGTAAAAAAAAGCAAGGTCAAAACTACCCGAATGGAGTAAAATTTACCGTAGATCTGGCTCTATGGGAGCACTAAAAAGCACGGTAATTTTTATGGAAACTCTTTGGTAATGATTTTGATATAATTAACAATGAAATATTGTTTTATAATAGGTGTTAAAATTTGGTAAAATGGGAACTAACAATATGGTCCGAGTAATATGGCAATTTTATCATACCTTTAGAGAGTTTCATAAAAACCATTTATTCGGTTGAATTTACTGTTCAATTTTGTATTTTTTACTAATTGTGTGGTAATAGAACTTTAATTTTGAAAACCAAAAATTCCGATAAACTGTTACCATATGAATAGAAACTGTTATCATACAAATGTTTGAAGTACCGTATATTTTTTTTACCAGCATTGGCCTTACAATACAGTTCAGTAATTTCACCAGGTTTTTTTTTCTCCGTTTACACAAAAATACTTTAAGTTCAAAATTTCATAAGAATAATTTAAGTTCAACATCATACAAAAAATATTTTGACTTGGAAGATGGGAAACACGAACGTGAGTAAACATAATTCTATTTATCACACACGTTTTTAGTGACTAATTAAATTAAGAAGATCTGTTTAAAAGATCTGTTTTTTGTCAAGAAACAAAACTTAGTACAAAGAGAGAATCGTTGTAACGGGTGTTGCTGAACGATAGCGAACAGTTGCCTCTGCCACTTAGCATAATACTATAATTAAAACTACAATTCAACAGAAAAAGTTAAACTTTCTCGAACATTATTTTTCGTCAAACTTTTAAAAAGTTGAATATGGGAAGATCTTGTGAACCTGCTTTTTGTCATAACTGCCCATATAAAAAGTATAGGTCTTACCGTCCAACCTCCACCATCTGTTACCATATCGCAATAAACTTTAACAGAGGAAGTTCCTAAGATTCTGCTCTTTGGATAAATGTCATACACTCCACTTTTCTGGAAACCTAGTCTATATATCTCAGCACAATCCACGGGTCTTTGATAAAGGTAACCTATTAAAATAGCACACTTATAAATCAAGGGTTTAGTGTCAAAGTTTTTTTCCTTTACAAAAATTTTTAACGACAAAAAAATTTTTTACAAATCAAATTTCAACTAATCGGGTATTTGCATCTCGAGAAGAAGAATACCGCTAAAATCCACATGGTTGTGCCTAATCACGTGGTTTTTAAATAGTGTGCTAGAGTAATTGGGCTTGTTTTATTATCACACTGAATGATATTTCGGGATAGATTTAATTTGGTTTGGAGTCAAACAACGTGACGCGTGTTTGTCGAGCTTAGTTGGCTGCTGAATTATAGAATAAAGAAATGACACGATCTCCCCATGATTGGCTTCGTTTGCAAGGATCCAATTCCAAGTCATTAGCATCTTATGATAAATTTTTGTTTTTCATGTCATCCTTGTTTTATAATATCAATATGTGGTTGTATTAAAGGTGTTTTCCATTGTTTAATTGCTCAAAATCTATCATACAACCTAAGCTGTATTATAGATTTTGAGAAAAGTGGCTTGACAACTGTTTTCTTTCCATCGCTAGAGCTATCAACTCTAAAATAGAATAATAAAAAAAAATTGATAAAGATATTAATTTTTGAAAAACAGATTTTTGCAATAAGTAATTTATCGTACAAAAATGACAGATTTACGACGATCTCAATTTTGAATCTTTTGTCACTTACAATGTTTTTTCAATTGCACGGTAGTTTTGTAACGGCCATCTTAATATAATTAGCAATTTTAACCAATAATATTGTAAATAACTTTTAAATATAAAAAAATGTAAATATTTTTTATATCCTTTTCAAAACTAAATTGAAAATTATACTCAGATGAAAAAGGCGTTTTACTTCCTCCCTGTTAACCCACTGAGAAATTTATGTCCCATATTTCCTTATTTATCGAGAATTATTAATATTTTTGAACACTTTTTGTTTCATTTTATTAATTTTGTTTTATTAATTTTATTTTATTTATTTTAGTTTAATCATTTCATTTTAAAATGTCATGCTTGAAAATGTTAAGCAAACATGCACTTAAAAATTTTTAAAATTCTAAAAACACTTGCAATTTTAAAATTTAAAATTAGGTTACTAAGTACAATAGAAAAAATTATGGTTTAAATTAAGCAAAAAAAATATTCTAATCCTTTATTAGTGTCTTAATAAATAAGTAAATTTCAAACATATATTTCTTCGTAGGTTAACAAGGATGAAACCTTTATCTGTTTAAAAAGGGTCAATAAACGAGAGAAAACGTTTTTGTCTAATCAACCGTTCCACAACTGAAAAAGTCATTCTGAGAAAACAAAGAGGAATTAAAAGTTAAATTTTGAAGACACCTCCAAGTTTTCTCGGGAAATCAAACTGCCTTTGGTGTTTTCATCCCACTTTTCTCATTTATTATAGAACAGTTTTCGATGCTGTTTTCGTTTCTTCCTTGCTTAAATTTCAATTCGCCAATCCTAATATGTATACTTTTTTAACTTTATTTCTGAAATGAAAAAATGCATATTAAAAGAATATGTTGACTGAAAAGCAGCATCAGTTCATTTAAAGTGTTAAGGAACATAATGGCTCATGATTATGATACTGATCACTTAAGTGAACGAGCCCAATCTATAACAGAAAAAAAATATTTCCAAAATATCATACTTTCCTGGTTTTTCATGTTTTTTCAATGAGTGACGAATTTTGTTGAATTAACCGTCTTTAACTTTAGCATAAAACGAGCTACTTTTATACCAAACAAAAACTTGATTTGTTAACTTTGACAATATTATTCCCGCATAATTTTGTTTATATTTTTTTTCTGTTTAAAATTTAAATCATTCTGAAAACAAGATAGTGTCTGGTTTAATAAAAGGAAAACTGTTTTTTTTAATTAAGGATACTTGAAGAAAATTTAATTTGTTAAGTTCGAAACAATTATTCAAACAAACTAAACACTTTTTATTTATTCATTGAAGATAAATACATAGAAAACAATCTGAAATAAATGCTTAATAAAAGTTTTAGGTTTTTATGTTTTTTGCATTTTTAATGACTTTGAATCATAATATCGTCCTGGTTTGCTTAAACCTTATGATGGTGCTAAATTGAGCAACATTATTACTTCTTACACTTTATTGCACATGTTACTATGGTTTAAATTATTAAAAAAAAGTATTTTTCAATTTCATGTCTTTTTATGTTTGAAGCAAATGTGAACCATATTATGATTTAAGGTAGATACGTTAAGGTTCAAAATTGAATTGTGTTTTCTGTGACTGAGTCATTGAATACTTACATTCTCGGTGATAATTGCTTAGAACAGTAGCATTTTCCAGTTGTGGTTTTCTATCTTCATCTAAGTCGCCCGCTTCAGATCCATAACTCAAAGATAAGACAATTGAAACAAGGAAAACAGCATACCTATATTTTGTAAATTATTTTGATTTAACATTTTCAGTATTGAAATACGCCCGAATAAAAAAAAGCTTTAATTTGTTACCTGAACTAAAGCAATTTCATTTTATTTTATAACATAAATATGCTGAACAGCAGACCCTTTTTTATGGGTTTATGACTACTAATGTTCAACTACGTAGCCTTGTAATTTTGAAACCAATCCAGAAGATAAGGGAACTCCTGGATCAAGTATTGTGAGAATTTTGCCTTCATGGAGGACTTTTTGATGGAACTAACTCGCATTTGCGTTACATGGAGAGGAAGACTTCGAGAACTACAAACAGTTAGCCTGACGGCAAGGGGACTCCAACCCATGATCTGCCTATCACTGAGGATATTTCACGTCAGCACTGTTATTGGTGCAAACCGGATGCGGAATTCGTATCGACCAGCCATCGCTGGGATTTGAACCCGGTTCACCTTATTAGAAAACGAACGCTTTGTCCCCTTAGCCATCGGGGCTGCTATATCATTTTGTAGTTCTTTTACATACTTTTATGGTCAAATCTAAGAAGGGCAGCCATGTAAAAACAGAACTAAACAGCAATGGACCACATTAGCAACTTTGTGGTTTCGTATCCATATTTCCATCTGCAGTGTAAATAAAATATATAGTCAAAACATTCAAGTCTATGCAGTTCCTTCTTTTGCGTACTGGATAAGAGTATAGTGAAAAGTGTTATCATTGGAATAGGAAGCAGTTAAGAAAGAGCAGAAAAGTGTGTTTGGTTAGCAATTGAGAGTACTAAAATAAGCTGTTGAGAGTCCTAAAACAAATGAAAATTGAAGTTGTATCTTGTGAACCCTGCTTGTGACTGACAGGTGTGCGCGAGTGGTAAAAGAGATTCCGCGAAGAACAAATAACACTGCTTGGAAATGAGCCATTATGCCTGATGACATTGATCTGATTGGGAAAAACCGAGAAAAGTGAAGAAATTCGTGTTCAGATCGTCATAAGTTCTGCATCCCTGCATGCTATTATTGAAGACAGCCTGCAGGTTCGAATTATTTGCGTACTGTGGGTTCCACATTAACCGACGGAGGGACAAAAGATTGATATATTTCTGATAAAAGTTCATATCTTAGTGTTACCAAAGGAAGAGTTTGTGTTTTGGTCACGTAACGTTACAAGGGACGAAATATGGTGCCGCAATTTTGCGCCCAAATCAAACGGCAACGATAACAAGGGAAACTCTTCAATTCAAGGCAGCTCCATAAAAATCCTTAGAAGTCATGATGATCCTATTCTTTGATTGCAGAGACCCTCTATTCCTCGACCTCCTAGAACGTGGAGTCTTGATGAATGCGAAACTTTAATGCCGACACGTGGGACACGTCATCAAATCAAAACGTCCTTGCTGTCGTACCAAATGCTTCCATCTCCTTTCTAATAACCTAGTGAGAGATAAATTTCTGAGATTTGACTTGGAAACACTTCAACATCCACCGTACATTCCAGATCTCTTCCCATGTGAGTTTAAGATTTTTGGAGACCTGAAGATGGTGATCATTTAGATGGTGAAGTTCAGGAATAGGTGAGATAGTGGATCTCTCAGAAACATACCTCTTTTTATAAGACTGGAAATGATCTTCTCATTGAATGGAAGGTTAAAGCTTTTTGGCAATTATCAAGCTTTTAAATAATAATAATAATAAAACTCCCTTATCATTTTGTAACACGTTTGTGATTTTCATTTGACTACCCCTCTTAATAAAATAACAAAAATACTTGATTTTTAACTTGACTAGATACACCAGTCACAATCAAACTAATCTATTATTAAGCAATTTTAGCAGCATAGTTATAAATAGCTTTACAGTAATAACATTTTTATTAAACAGCATAGTGAAATTATTAAGTAGTTAACTGTAGTTAACTGCTCAAAGCATTTATTAAGCTTCATTTTTGAAAACTTGAAATTTTCTAAATGTACTGAAAATAAATAGTTTACCCACATTTTGAAAGCAGATACAAAAATTGGGATTTCGTTATTGACATGTTTGATATGCGTGCCCTCAATGGCGTAGAGGAATAATTGTTCTTAATTAAATTCTGTAAAAATGTCCAGACATAACATGTTCAGTAAAAATGTCCTGAATCCTACCATCAGTTGAAAAAATTTTCCCCTACAACTTTTAAATCAACCACTTATCAGGAAAAATACAGCATTGCAGCAATGGTTACAAAGGTTTTTGCTAACAAGAGTTTTTTTCCTTGAAAATATCGGTCAAATTATAAACTGCCTAAAGTAAGTAAAATTAATGAAAAAACTTTATTATTCCTATTTCTTTTCTTATATCATATCTTACGTAGAATAATAATAATAAAATCCTAAGTTGAATCATCTTTAATAAATCAATTTTATAATGCAGGAACGTAATGTGGTTCTTTAATAAATCATCTTTAATCATCTTTAATAAATCAAATTTATAATGCAGGAACGTAATGTGGTTTTTCATTTTAATGCTTTTAAAACAGATTATCGATGTATTAGAACCGTGAGTTTAAAGTTCGAGGCAGATAAAACTTGCACATAGAACAGTTTGTTTTATCAGTGATTACAGCTGACTGCACTGATTTATTGTCATCAAGGACTTCTACCAGATGTTTTCTTTGATTTATTAACCTATGAAATGAAATATTTCTTTCGTCATTAAATCCTAAATTCTAAATTCAGCATTTAAGAAGTAACGTTTCGCAATTAAGAACTAGATTCATAACGCCCAACTTATAAATTATATAGCATCCAGAAACTCAAATCCTTGATATCAGTGTTCAAAAAAAATATAAGTCATGTGCATATCTAGCTTCAAAATATTCGAACTTGATGACCTCATACTAATAATTCACGAATTAGATTCACAACTGTAAGAAATAGAATAAGTTACTTTGCACGTGCAATTTCTTGCCAAATAAACATATAATATGTAATAACAATTTTAAATAAATAAATAATTTCCATCAAAAATACTATTCGAATATTTTAAAAATAACTTAAGCTTTTAACTTTTGAAAATACAACAAACACAAAATAAAATGTATTAAAAATAGCTGATCACTATAATTTTTTAATAATTACAAAAAGAAAAATACTTGAAGCTTAATCTATTGTGCAAACAGAAAAAAATGCATAGTATAAAAGGGCAAACTCATAAAAGAGCTATATTCCCAAGATATGCAAACTTAATAATGGAATCCAAGGCGCAGTTTTAATTTATTTTTTTCAAAAAATGCACCTATTGTATTTTTTTTGGGGGGGAGAGGAAATTCTTCCACTTAATTGAAAAAAATTATTAATTTGACATTAATATCCCTGATATAATAAAAAATATGCTGTAAAATATACAGAGTGCAATTTACTTTTAATAAAAATATTCGGAATTTAACTTGTCTTCAATAATGTTTGCCTCTAGCTTTAATTAAAATTAAAATAATTATAAATTTAATACAACATGTTTTTCTTTGTATTATTTTTTTTAAAATTTATTCATCAAAACGAAAAATTTACGTTTCCACTTACTTCAGATAAAATTATATAATGTATCCCTATTTCATGGAGTCATTTTTAACAATTTTCGAGACACAATGCTTTTAAATTAAAAAAGTTATCAATCAAAACCAAAAATATACATTTCAACTTACAGGAAAAAAACTATAATATATGTATATTTCATAGAATTGTCTTTAACAAACTTCGAGCTATGCAATGCTTTTGAATTTTAAAAAAAAATCACCTTTGGGCAAAAAAAAGGCATTTAAATTCTCAACATCTCTTTAAGCCCAAAGCTAGAAAAACACGTATACGTGTTTTTATAATATCTCAATATCTCAAGTCATAATTTATATAAAAACATTAAAATTTTCGTCTTTTGAATAATTGAAAACAATATCGACTTTTTTAACATTTAGCAGATCATCAGTCCCTTTTATTGTAACAACTCGCATTACAAAGTATCAAATAAGACTGAAACTTCCCTATAAAAATAAAAATATCCTTAAGGGATAAAATATAACCAACTTTACGACGTTATAAAGAGAAATTTAAAAATATGAAACTAGTAACATAACAGCTTGGAAAAAAAACACATTTTGTATAAAATGGGTAGGNTTTTACCTCATTTAACAAGTTTTATCACATATTATAAAACCATATTTTATTATCGATTTTATCAAAACCATTACCAAAACACTTAGGTAAAAATTATCAAGCTTTTGGTGTTCCCATAGAATCAGAAACATGATAAACTTTTGCATATTCTTGTGTAGTTTTCACCATATTTTTTTCTTAGTGACATTATGTTATTTTCCTTAGTTGCAATATTTAAATAAGCTATCTTCTCTGTATTACAGTTTTTAAAGTGATTGGTGATTGATTCTATCAACTAATGTATTGATTATTTATGTGTAACTTGATTTTTAACATAGCGGAAAACAGATTGACGAATTTGTGTTGATTTACGTATAGAGTAACGATGATGTTATTCAACAAAGACCGTAGATTCACTTTAACGAGAACTTCGATTTCTTTTTCTGAAAGTGCTTCATTGTGCTTCAAACTATCTATATCCCAAATTCCATCGCTTATATATATATATATATATATATATAAGCGATGGAATTTGGGATATAGATAGTTTGAAGCACAATGAAGCACTTTCAGAAAAAGAAATCGAAGTTCTCGTTAAAGTGAATCTACGGTCTTTGTTGAATAACATCATCGTTACTCTATACGTAAATCAACACAAATTCGTCAATCTGTTTTCCGCTATGTTAAAAATCAAGTTACACATAAATAATCAATACATTAGTTGATAGAATCAATCACCAATCACTTTAAAAACTGTAATACAGAGAAGATAGCTTATTTAAATATTGCAACTAAGGAAAATAACATAATGTCACTAAGAAAAAAATATGGTGAAAACTACACAAGAATATGCAAAAGTTTATCATGTTTCTGATTCTATGGGAACACCA